AAAAAAAAAAAAAAAAATTGGGGTGCAAAGAGAGTTACTGACATATTACATGTTAACTGTAAAAAGAAGCTACTCCCAACCATATAGGTTCATTTATCATACTACGAATGCAACTGAGTTAATACGTCTTAGTCTAGACGTGTTTTATACACAATAAAACGATTAAGTCCAAAGTTCAAAAGATTTTTATAGTCTAATAGTCACCACCTAGCTTTCAGGATCATAGTTTACATTTTATTAGATACATTTTATTTTATTTTATTTTAATTTTTTAGAGATAGGGTCTTGCTATGTTGCCTAGACTGGTCTCAAACTCCTGGCCTCAGCAATGTTCCTGCCTTAGCCTTTCAAGTAGCTGGGACTACAGGCATGTACCACCCCACCTGGCTGCTAGATACATTTTAAATGTCATTAAACAAATAAAAGTTCTAACCCACATAAATTTTATCTGATTTGGTTATTAAAAACTACTACTTATAATTAGTTGGGCGTGGTGGCACATGCCTTTAGTTCCAGCTACTTGGGAGGCTGAGGCAGGATGATCACTTGAGCCCAGGAGTTTGAAGTTACAGTGAGCTATGATGATGCCACTGCACTCTAGCCTGGGCGACAGAGTGACATCCTGTCTCAAAAAAAAAAAAATTACCAATTATATGTGTAAGACAGATTTGAGAATATTAAGATTTATATTAAGAATAACATGTAAGGCCAAGGGTGGTGGCTCACACCTGTAATCCCAGCACTTTGGGAGGCTGAGGTGGGAGGATCGCTTGAGGCCAGGAGTTTGAAGACCAGCCTGGGCAACCTGGCAAGACCCTGTCTCTACAAAAAATTTAAAAAATTAGCTGGGTGGGGTGGCGTGCACCTATAGTCCCAGCTACTCAGGAGCTGAGGCAGGAGGATCACTTCAGCCCAGGAATTCAAGGTTATAGTAAGTTGTGATGGCATCACTGTACTCAAGCCTGGGCAACAGAACGAGATCCTATCTCAAAAAAAAAAACAAAACAACATGTAGCAGGGTTTCAAACACATGGTTGCTAAGCTCATCTCTATAATCAGAGTTAATAAGATGAGAGTAAAATCAGATATAGCCTCCAGGAACACAGAGGACTTTCTTGTTTTCCCTTCCCTGCAAGGTAGGCAGTATAGGTAAGGGAAAGGCAATCTCTTTGGTATCTGTTCATTTAAAATGTACACATTAAGGGACTATTTTGTGCAAGACACCCTTCTAGTCACTGGAGATACATCAGTTAGAAAACCAGGCAAAAGCTGCCACCATCAGGGAGGTTATAGTCCAGAGACATGCAGAAAAACACTCTAGCACATTTCCCCTACCTCTTCTGCATTCCAAATGACTGCTGTAAAGAAAAACGATAGTGCCCTATAATGCTGGTATCTTGCTAAGAGTTTTATTATTTTGTTATAAGTGTGGCTTAGCATAACCTCTTAAAATAGAATCCTGGAAACAGCAAAATGTCATTATGTTCTATCTTGCTAAGCGATTTAATCAAATAGATTTACCCCACTGTCTACACACGGCCTGGTAGGCACTTAAAGCAGGTGTGTGTCATACAGAACACCTCTCTCAGGATCCCTAAAGACCACCCAGGATACTCCTACTTTATAAGAGGAGCGAATGATCTCTAAGCACCTTCCTACTGCAAAGGAAAACATTTCAACTCTGAGACAATGGAGACCAATAACTATATATAGTTTTCTTTTGTAGAAATCATGAAAGTAAAAAATAATTAATCAATAAGATCAGAGGAAAGGGAAAAAAAAGTGACTAAACAGCAGCGCCCTCCACCAAGAAGTATCCCTGCAATAAAAAATACACCTAAAAGCAAGATAGAGTGCATGTCGATAAGAGAAGACAAAGATCTTACAGCTTGCTTTCTTGCAAGTACTCTGAAATAAGACTGCTGAGCTAGATTCCTACCTTCTTTTGGGTTCTGCTTAAACTGTGCAGAAAGAGAAGAAAGAAAGATGACATCTCTGTCTCGGTCCTTCCAAGAGACACGGAAGATTTTACAGACCAGCTGTAAGGCCTGCTCTTCAGACACTTCAGGGCCTGAGGAAGGTTCCTAGTGAGGAAGAAGATTTGCGGGTTCATTTCAAATAGAAAGTATGACTTAGGTACTAAGGGAAAACTAAACGTGTTACTATGACATCAAAGTTACATCTAAGTCTCATGAGCTTACAATACAATCTACGGGGGAGCATAAAGGAGCAAGGACATTATCAAAGTTACCAAGAAATAAATGTTATAAATCACATACATATCTTAGTTGTTTACTTTTCTAAACTCCAAAGGACCAGGTTAACATTCTAGGCACATGATCAATTGTCCTCCAGGAATTTTCCCAAATTTTAACATTTCTCGTCACATTCTGCCACAGTTAAAACATCATATGTGAAAGAATTTTGTACACATTTAAAAACTACACAAATAAAGCACTGCACCAATAGGAAGCTACAGTCCAACTTCTGATAATCATTAACATGTGTTGCTAAAGGAGTCCTAACAATTTACTGAAAAATAAGTGGTGCAATTAGCTGTATTATGACACCCTAAATATATGGCACTAAGCTCAGACGATAAGCAAATGTAAAGGCCTTATGTTTTCAAAAAGCTTCTACTTGCTACTGGATTCTATGTATTCTTGCTTCAATTCCCAGCCATTTTCCTCTGCCAAAGATGTGATGATCTACTTGCTTAAAAGCAAAGGACCAATAGAAAAAATTCTAACTAGCTCTAAATTAGTTCCTATTACAAATTAAATTTACTGATAAAAGCATGGTCCTATACCAATGATAACTGAGGATTTTTATCAGATAAAAGGATTGAGTTATACTTCTTTTAATAAGGGCAATCTAGGCTACCTATTTTTCCCAAAAAGAAAAAAAAAGTCACCTGCATAGGATTCCCTGATTTAGGGAGGTCTACTCTAACAGACTCTCCAGATACAAGACGTGAGATGGTGTTTATATTACCTGTACTAAAAACTGAGGCCGGGGCTTCGTTGCTTACCAACCTTATCACTGAGGCTCCTTTTTTCTCTTCGATCATTTTCATCAACCTCCATATTTTCAATTCCGGAATCCACATCCACCTGGGACATGCTTTAAGTATAAAAGACAAATAAAACTTTTACCTTTTATAAACCCACACAATGTCACAGCTGCTGGTTGAGGAAAAGTTTTAAAAAATCAGTCAAAATCGGTCAGGAAAGCAAAATGATAAAGGATCACCTTTTTCTTATTAATTTCTAGAGCTCTTCATAAATTAGGATTTAAGCATTCTATCGCACGTGTCGGAAATAATTTTCCTAAGTTGTCATTTTCTTGGGCCCGCTTTAAAAAAAATCATTAGATTCTCGCTATATGTTATTTTTAAATGATATAAAACTCAATCTGGAGAAAAAGAAAAAAACTCAAGCAGGCCAGGTGTGGTGGCGTGTGTCTGTAGTCCCCACTACTCGGGAGGCTGAGGCAGGAGGATCGCTTGAGCCCAGGAATTCCAGGAAGCAGTGAGCTATGACAGCACCTGTGAATAGCCACTGCACTCCACCTTGGGCAAAACTGTGAGACTCCATTTCTAAAAATAAATAAATACATAAATTTTTTTAGCTCCTCAAAATCCAACTTAAAAATAAATTTCTTTAATTAAATTTTTTTTTGATTTAAAAAATAAAAAAGTCAACCAAAGATTAACTACAAAAACTGATTAAGGACATATTATTTCCCCCCATATTAAATAAATAATTGTCCCAGCACCATTTATTGGAAAGTGCGTCCTCCTTTTTAAATTTTGTAAAATCTATGTCATATGTCCAATTTTCATAAATGTGTGGGTCTATTTCTAGAGACTCATTCCTGTTAATGTTAGACAATTTGTCTGTCCCTGAGCCAATGATACCACTATACTTTAATTAATAAAACCTCACAAAAAGTCTTAATATCTGCTAGATCACTGCCCCCACCTTGTTCTTCTGCTGCAAGAGTGTCTTCACTATTCTTGACCCTTTCCACTTCTACACATACTTAAGAAGCAGCTTGACCTGTTCTTTTAAAACTCTGTTGGGTCAGCCAGGAAGTTTAGAGTTAAAAAAAAAAAAAAAAAAAATCTGTCTCAAAAAAAAAAAAAAAAAAAAAAGAGGAGAAAAAAACCACCAAAACCCTGTTGGGATTTTGACTAGAATTTCCTTGACTCTAGAGATCAAACTGTGGAGAAATAATATCATTATGTTATTGAGTCTATCACTCTCCAAGTATTTAGACCTTTTTTAGAGGTCTTTAAATAAACTTTGTAATTTTCTCCATAAAAATCTTACACTTCATTTACTAAATGTATTCCTAGGTACCATATAGTTTTTAATGAAATTGTGAATGGTGCCTTTTAAAAAATAAAGTTTTCTGATTTTTTGTTGTTGGCACATAGTAATGTTTAAATATACACCTCTTATAAATATATACCTGTTTATTTATACATGGAGTTAACTACATAAATAATCAATTTATCTCCAAATAATAACAGCTGTTTCTTCCACTCCAATCCTCACTTGTTTTACTGTACTGGGTAGGACCCTCATGTTGAATAGAAGCAGGAATAGAAGTCATCCTTCTTATTCCTGATTTTACAGAAAGTGACTCTAACTTCTCACCCCCAAATATGAGAGCTGCCGCAATTTTTTGTTAGATGTCCTTTATATTAGTCAGAATAAGATAGGCTAAGGTGTCGTAACACACACACTTTGAAATCTTAGAGGCTTAACACTATAAGGGTTTATTTCTTGCTTACGCAAAGTCTGATGAGAGTGAAGCATCCTTACTCCATCTTTAATCTATGCCATCTGCAATACACAGCCTCCAAGGTCACTGGAGCAAGAGAAGAGAGGGATGGAGGAGGAACATGGGCTCAACTGCCTTCACCTAAAAGTGACACATGTCACTCCCATTCATAGCCTACTGGACAGAACTAGTCACTTGGCCCCAATCTAACTGCAATGGAGACTGGGAAATATAGGGAAGCCTGTGGAATATTTGGTAAACTCTGTCTCTGCCACACTTTATAAGGATACTCCTTTCTGTTCCTCATTTGCTAACATTTTTATCAGGAATCAATGTGGAATTTTATCAAGCTTTTGCAGCTACCAACATCATAAGGACTTTTCTTTTTAATATATAATATGGTAGATGACGTTTACAGATTTTCTAATGTCAACACATCCTTGTATTCCTAAGATAAACCCAAACTGATCACAATATATTTGTCATATTTATTACATCATATTGTACTATTTTTAAGTAAACTTTTAATTGAAATATATGTTGAGAAATGTGCATAGATATGTCTGGCTGAATGTATTTTCATGAAGTAAACATACTAATGCAACTTGCACCAAGATCAGGAAATAGAATATTACCAATACTCCAAATGTTCCCTCTGTGACCCCTTCAATCACTACTATTCTGGCCCACAGTAACTACTGTCTTGGCACCTAACCCCACAGATTAGTTTCCCTGTTTTTGATGTGTTGTGGAACTCGATTTGTCAGATTTTTGCAAATATGTTCATGAATATGCATACCACGTAATTAATTTTCCTCTTTTATATTATTCTTGTCTGGTTTTAATATTAAAGTCACATTAGCCTCGTAAGTTGAGTAGAAGTGTTCCTTATTTTTTTTTAACTATTTAGAAAAATTAGTATAAAATTGAATGGTGGAATTATGTATAAAATCATAAAGCAGGGTGTTTTCTTTGAAAAATTTTAAAATACTGACTCAATTTACCTCATGGTTTTTGATTATTTGGATTCTCTCTTTCTTCTTCAGTCAATTTTGGGGAGAATTATATTTTTTTAAGAATTTGATTTTCATCCAAATTTTCAAATTTATATGCACTTTGCATATTTATACTTGTCATGGAATTCACTTCTTCAATAACAAATATTACCAAGTGCCCATTCTGTGCAGGCGTTATTCTAGGTGTCTGAGATCAATGAACAAAAGGTATTAAGAAAATCCCTACCTCACAGAGATTACATTCTTGTTAGAGGGCAAAAGAGAATAACCATACATAATCAAGAGGAAAGCACATAGTATATTAGATGATAATGGCCATGGAGAAATGAAAGAAAAGGCTGAGTGTGGTGGCTCACACTTGTAATTCCAGCACTCGGGAGGCCGAGGTGTAAGGATCTCTTGAGGCCAAGAGTTCAAGACCAGCCTGGGCAACATAGCAAGATCCTGTCTCTAAAAAAAAAATAATAATAATTTTTTTTTTTTTTAATTGAAAGAAAAAAAAGCAGGAAAAAGGTAATTAAGGGTATGGTGCTTTCCATTTTAAGCAGAGTGGGCCTCATTGTGAAACAACACATGGGCAAGGGCAGGAAGGACGTCAGCCATGTCCAGGGAGGAGCATTCCAGAAAAGGGACTTCATCACTCATATTCCTTTATTACTCTTCTCTTTTTCCTTTATTCATTTTTAATATGTTTAAAGCTTCATACTTTCCTCTAAGAATCATTTTAGCTACAATGTACAAA